AAAGCGTCAGCTTTCCTGCTCCTCTGATGCTGCCTGGCCTGCTGTGTTCATCCAGCTCTACACCTTGTTATCACAAATTGTGCCCCTATGTGTTGGATGGTCCAATGTTTCATTCACCAACTGGCAGGAGCAAGTAGATGACACACTTCCAGTTACACCTCTCTCATCCCACCAGAAACCATAAAAGCCAGGCCCCGTTTCCCAATTTGCCATCATGGGAACATGAACTCGCAAAGTCTGAATTGCTGGCTCTGGTCGTGTAACAACTTGGCTAATGGGTAAGGTCACTACAAACAGAAAACACAGCCTTTTCTTACACCCCAAAACCAAATTTAACGTGAAGTATCGAGTAAAAACATCAGAAATTGCTGGAAAAATTCAGCAGGTCTGGCAGCATCTGTGGAGAGAAAGCAGAGTTAACATTTCAAGTCCAGTGACCCTTCTTCAGAACTGATGTTAGCCAAGGAATATATATATGTACATATGCTGAAGACAGCTAGCGGAAGCAACAGTGGAGTAAAAGAGTAAATGATAGGTGAAGATGGAGCCTAGAGAGAGAGAAAGACAGTTAGGCAGACAGAGGGATGGATAATGGGAAGCCATTTTGGCAGGGGAACCTGTATCCTTCAGGACTGAATATCGGCTTCAACAATTTTAGAGTCTGACCATGTCTTCTACCCAGCCCCACACCCCAGTCCTGCCAGGACAAGGACTGCTTTCAGCACAGCCAACCCAATTTCACCTACTTACAGTCCCCATTAGCAGCTCTTCTTTCCCACTTTGTTTTATTTTAATGAAATTTAAATATGTTTTGCCTGCTGGAACATGTTGGAACAACTGGCGCAAAGCCTTGTTGCCAAAACCACAAACTGGGAAATTAAGGATAAAATTTTCTGTCTGAGAACTTTAATTGGTGGAACATTGCGGGCTGCCTCATAAGATTTCCCAAAATGTACTGCTACAGAAAGAGAAAATTAACCCTTAACACACTTAGTCCATATATCACTTTCATCATTCTTCTCTGAATCTCTCCAGTAAGCTTGTGAATAATAAATAGTCAAATTACTTAATTTGTGTATCCAGCCTACAACCTATTTCTAGCTTAACACTAAAGAAATTAAAGTGTTAAAGTCTCTCATGTTTTTAGTGTAATACCATTTTATGGCATTGAAAATGGTATCAATACAAATTGACAACACTTGTGCTCACAACAAGAAAGTTACTGCAAATGATCATCACAGCCCACACATTTGTGAGATCATGCCCTTGAGGTAATATAGCAGACTTGATGGGCCAAATGGCCTAAGTCTGCTCCTATATCTTATGGTTTGATGGTCATTCAGCATTTCTAGAAAGAAAGCAGAGTTAACGTTTCAGATCCAATGACTCTTCTTCAATTCAGGAACGTTAATTCTGCTTCCTCTGCACAGATGCTGCCAGAACTGCTGAGCTTTACCAGCAAATTCTGTTTTTGAAGCACAACTTCCTGTTGGCTCAGTCCACATGTGGGAGTAGTTCTCACAGGCTCAATACAAATATAAAGCAAATGACTTTTTTTTAAAATTTTCAGCTTGCTGCAGATGGAACTGTCATGAACACATTTACACACAAATGTCAGCTACCAGATGATGTGGATCCCACCTCTGTGACTTCCGCCCTGGGTGATGATGGGACGCTGACGATTAAAGCAAAGAGGCACCCAGCCAAGCACACTGAACATGTGCAACAGACTTTCCGAACTGAGATTAAGATCTGAGCAGGCAAGGGATGAGGGCTATGTTATGGTAATGCTGGGTGATGTTTGATAATGCCAGTGGTAGTGCTTTGGTCATGCAGATTATTGCATGTGCTGGTGTCTAATTCACACCTCACCCTGCCAACATACCATTGTAAAATATCATCTCAACTCTTGTAGGCATGGAAATATTGAGCAAAGCCTGTGCAATAAGATATTTGACACTTTCTATCACATTATTTAGTAATTCCATTTATATTATGTATCCATGACTAATCTACAGCTAAAGACAGTGGCAGACTTGTTTGAATGTCTTCTTGTTCCAAAAGGATTGATGCTTTCTTCACACGGAGACGACAAAGTGTGTGAATGGTCTTGTATTGTAAGGTAGAATAGATCAGAAACATCGGTTGATTATTTTATCAGTTGACCCCTCTTAGGTTTAATTTTCCTGTGTAATGTGGTCTGTAAATAGGTTTGCATCATAATGCTGTATTTTTGTTCTTTGACAAGAGATTAATTTCTGTCACTTAGATGAGTGTGTAAGAGTGTATGCTGCTATTAGGGAAATGGTTTCAGAACACAAGAATATAAAACTCCTCGGAAATAGGAAAGGACCATTTGGTCCAATAGCCCTGCCCTTTTATCACTGATTAAATGAAAAGTTATATAATATGGACAAAATCTCCTAATCTTCACATAAGGCACAATACTGCATTGCCTAATTGCAGTCATACTTATAGTGTAGGACAGGGTACTCCTCTAATATATTTAAAATGGCAAGTTTGGAAATGAATCTTCTGAGATGCTAGAGTACGCACCCCCACCTCCCCACCTCACTTTGCCTCCACATTCCCTCTCCCCACCCCATAAAACACAGCCTCCTATTTGTGGAACGTTGCAGTGTTCACATTAGTTCCTACATTTCCCGAAATTAAAACAGAGACTACACTTCAAAATATAAATGCTTCATTGGCTGTTTAAGGGCTTGCGAAGCCCTGAGGTCGTGAAAGCTGCCATATAAATGTAGGTTTGTACTTTCTTTCTGCAATACACTAGCCTTCCAATCACAGCTGCACTTATCTTGTGAATATCCTAATGCTTTGATTGGATACTTGGCAGACTGTTACAGGCATTTATTCCTTTATTTTGTATCAAGTTTATTCTCATCATTTAAATTATTCCTCTGGTCTTAATTTCTTGGAGTAGTGCAGATTAGTATTCCACTTTTATACTGCTTATACCGTTTAATAAAATATGCCTTGATGAGAAGGTCCTTGACCATCTTCCCTCTGAAATATAAAACTTCTTTCAATTTATAGATCATTCCCTCAATACCACATGGTTTCCCAGGTGCCATGAGCTTCTCAGCATCTCACTCTAAACATGAACACATATTGTGCTGGGAACACAGATAGGCCTTACTGTGTAATGGCACTAGGCTTTATTTTTGACACAGCAGAACACAATTTTTCAGATTCAACCTTACTACTTAGAAGAATTTTAATCATCATTGTTGAGAAAGCATCGGGTCATTGGGAGATTTCATGAAAGTACAGAGTGAAGTTTCAGGACTTAGAGGTTTTCTGTGACTTTACACTTGAGACATTCATTATTAATTAAGGTTCTTGAGGCTTCTCCATTATTCCCACCTCATGTATGATTTAAACAAGACAATGTGAGCAACACCAGATTGTGTTATGCCATTCTCACGTAGATCGTGCATTCTTTGTCAACAACATTTGGCCTCTTTTGGACATGTTGTAAAGGAAAGAACCATCGATCCAATGCTGATACTAACCTCCTGCTGCTGAAGATCTTGTAATGGCAGTTTTAGCGAGGTCACCCATTGAAGCAAACAATCACTGGAGTTAATTTCAACAGGAACAGAAAGAATAGGTGCAGGATAAGACCATGTGGATGCTACATTTTCACACACTATTGAATATCCCTTTTCCTTTGTCTCCAAAAATCTTTCAACAAACGAGCATCCAAAGCTCACTGGGGGAAGAGATTTCCATCCATTTAATTGAAGACATTTCTCTTCATCCAAATCCCAAATAGCCAATCATTCATTTTTAACTTTGTGTGCCCTAGTTCACTCCCTAGCCACAGGAAACATTCGCTCAGCACTTAAATGTGTATGCTTAAAAACTTTTGACAGATAGAACAATGTTAATGAATCATGGTTGTTTGAGATTTAAATTGAATCTATAAATGCCTTTGAATCCACACGCAGTTAAGAACATGCTACTTTGGAAAAGATCTTATTAAAAGTTCTTGATTGCACATTTTTATCCCATTCTAATGTTTCCCACACTTATAGTCACTACTGGTATTGGTGTTACTTTTTAAAAAATGTATTTCTTCTTTCCTAATATTGCTAATAGAATTCCACTGTCTTTGTGTTATAATAAATAAATATACTCCATTCTGATGTCATGGAAATTGAGTCATTATTGTTCTGGAAATTTTGCCTTGTAACATGCCTTCTTGAAGCTATATATCTTCATTGCTTCAGAATAAACACTTTTGCGCTGCTTAAGAGGATATCCAATTCAGGGCACATCCTGATGGATATTGACCCCTGTCATTGAACCCCATGTGCTCCAATGCTCCTGCTTTCATGCTAAGGCAACATCTTGGACCAATGAAAAAGATGTAATACAGTCAATGTGTGGGCTTTAATCACAAGCAGAGCACACTAAAGGAAATGCAGCAAAATTTGGTGATGATTAATCATTACTATCTTGCACCAGTGCCAATGCTTAGTGTGAGAATGGGAGTGCTCAGTACCATCTCATGACCTCCACATACTCCATATACTTCTCTCTTTCTACCACTTTTCTAGACATCCGTGTCATCGCATCATAGAAGGGAATTCCATTCAGCCCATTTAGGCTACAGTAGCTCTCTGTGGAGCATTTCTGTCAGTCCTTTTCCCCTATTCTATCCCCACAGCCCAGTGAATTTATTTTCTTCAATTGCCCATCCATTTCCTTCAGAAATCATTTATCATCTTGTTTCCATGGCCATTGTGGGCAGCAAGTTCCTGGACATTACAACTCATTGCACAAAAACTTTCTTCCTCCTCTTGCACCACCATCCCCCCCAACATCTTGCATCTGTGTCTCAAGTCCTTGTGTCACCCTTAATGAGAACAGCTTTAACTTGTCTACCTCATTCAAACCAGCCATACCCTTCTACAACTCTATCAAATCTCCCCTCGATTTCTTTTGATCCAAACCAGAAGGAAGAACCAGCAAAACTTGGAACTGACAGGACTCGTTTGAAATCATCTTGTGTACATTAATATGGAACTCCAGTTTGGACTGATTCTGTCTTTTCTAAGTTTTAATTGTTTCTTCCACCTTAACCTTGTGCCTTAGCAAACCTTAATCTTGTAAAATTCTTCATCCCTGGAATTTGTACCACCCCTTTGGTTGATACCTGTTTTATACATTCCTTGCCAAAAAGTGGGCTGCTGGTTTTTAGAAATACAGTACCTCTTCCTCACTGCTTCACTGAAATGCTTATCATTCTTATTATTGTTTCTGTGCCTGAGCAGAATGTGGCCTAGATTAAAAGGCCTCTGACTCAAACAATACTCCCACCCCTTGGCAAGACTCGCAATTGTTTATCTACTTAAAACCATATTTCTGTTTAAGGCTGCATGCTATTTGCTATCTGACACTGTCTTGGACAGTGAGAAGTCAATCTCTTTGCAATAAGGCAGTGGAGATGTAGATTAGGCATAGCACTCTCACAGACCACACATAAAGTAAAGCCCATCCCTCATCCCTGAGTCAGCCATAGCAAACAGACAGATCACACCACACCCATCTGAGATTATTACTAATCACATTGGAACATATATGCCTGAAGACTGAAAATAGAATTTCAAACCCTCATGCAAGGCCACTTGAAAGTTGCTGAAGGATCAAGCCCATTTCTGGTTGGACTTGGCTCTCAATAGCATTTCCAACACCAGTCACACAAGCAGATGAATCAGCCCTCATTCATTCCCCAAGTAGACACCTGATAATAAGAACATTTCAGGAAAGCAAATCAACAACCAGCTGAATAACTCTTTCATGGCCCAGTGCATAAAGTGAGATTTTCTCATTTTTGCTTTGAGTGTAGGGGTGAGCATGATTGGTGGCACCTAAAATTTCACTCTTAAGAAGATTCATCTAATCACCTGACATTCTGCACCTCTGGAAAAACCAAGAAAAAAATTAGAACGAAGGAATGCTGATCATAAACAGCAGCACTGACACTGAATTTGTGACATTGATATCAGTCACAGCAATGCTCCTCAAGTATCCCCAAGGTCATATTCAGCCTCCATTAGATATATGGATATTGAACATCTCTACCTATCCTCCACTCTCTCTGGCCTCCTAATACAGTCTCCACACACTACCTGACTCAGTCAACACGCCTGTTTGTCATGATAAGCCCTTCACCCTCTCCAGATGGGGTAAACATTCCTTCAATCCTGAACCCCTAACCACCACTTCACATCCCCTGCCATCAGTTCTGCCGTCCTGACCACTACCTCACCCCTACACCACCTCATTCACCACCTCCCCCAACTGTTCTCAATCCCTTGCGATCTCTTGCCTATGCCAGATCTCTCTCCCCGCAACTACCATGAGCTTCCAGGTACCCTGCGACTACAATCTCTCCCTGTTCTTCTGCTCGCTCCTTCACTGTGTGTTTCTGCAGCAGGCTTTCCTAGTCAGACAGGCATTCTGCCTGTTAACCACGTCGGCTTTTGGGTGGGTTTACCAGCCCCACCCTGCTGAACTCTGAGTGTACAGCCCTTTCAAAACCGGGGCCAAAGTCTCTCCAGTCTTCAGAATGTGGATTTGTCACATGCTCCAAATCCATCCAATTTAAAATCAAAGCCCATATTTCAATTGCAATCAATAAAAAAATTAACAGTGAAAAGTCATGATTATATAACCAACACGCTGACTGCATATTGAATTCCAAAGTCATGAAGGTATTCCCATGCCTGAAGCATGATCCATGTGTCTTCAAGCTCATGCAGTTAGAATGGCAGAAATGATTACACCTTCACGTTTGTAACTGATGCAAACTGCTAAACCTGGTGTTTTTCAACAAACAAACCTCAAAACATTTCCACAACAAAATACTGCAATTGTTGGCAAGTAATAAACACAGTTTGCTCAGTAATCTGAAGTTAGGTTTGTCATGAGCTTACAAACACCAGCCAGGAGTCCACAAATTTGTAAACTGAGATTTTAGCTAATCCCAAAGAAGAAAAGACAAAGTGGCACAAGGACTGAAGGCTGTAAGTTCTGCACTGTATTCTTCTTATACCCGAAATCTTAAAAACCCAGTCACAGAGAATGCACCTAGTAATGGGAAATGAGCCAAAGCAGATAAATGAAGTATGTGCAGGGATCCCTCTTAAGAAATCACAATTTAATCATGTTTAAGATACATCTTGAAAATTACAGAAATAAGGTAAAGGTCAAAGTACTAAATTTGTGGAAAAATTTGAACAGACGAGGAGGGAACAAGGGCAAATAAAGTGGGAATACTGGTGAAAATCAAGAAAATGGCAAAGCAGTGAGAAACGTTTGAAATGGTGACCAATAGAATCGAGTCAACATATAATTCACCAAAAAGTGAAGGTAACTAGCCAATAATTAACAATCATGCAAAAATAAAGACATCAGGGAAAATTTTGAACCAATGGAAAAGAGTTAAATACGTAGGCAACTAAAGCAAGGATTGCAAAAGGAGATACCAAATGGATAGCAAAGGATCAAAAACAATTAGGAAGGCAAAGATAATTATCAAGGAATATAACAAAGAATTGTGATGTATTACACAAACATATGATAACAGAAAATTTAAAAGATATTGCTAGCGCCATTTTACAGCATGGACCGGTTGGATTCGGCTTGGACTGGTTGGATCGATGGGTCTGTTTCTGTGTTGTTTGACTCTAATGTAATTCCTATATTTAAGCAAGAAAGGAGTTGGAAGACAGTGAGGGATCTATATCCAATTAAGCTAATGCTAGTGGAAGGAAATGTCATGTAATTCCTGCTCAAGGGAATAATTGAAATTGCAAACAAACTCAGCATGGACCAACCTTCTTCAATTCTTTGAAGAGGTAACAAAACATTAGACAAGGGCAATGTAGTGGAGACAATATATTTGGATTTTTCAAATATTTCCATAGGGCACTACAGTGTAGATATAGTTGGGGTGAAGTAGGCTGGACTGTAAACTGGTTACGAAACAAGAAACATCGAGGAGGATTGAAAGGAATCACCCAGTTTTGGCAAAAAGTTGGGAAGTAATGTTCCATAAGAATCAGTTTTGGGACCACTTTTCAAAACAAAAAAAAATTTGAATTTGGGAATCTGAAGCATAATTTTGAAATTTGAAAGCAACACCAAATTGGGCTATAGTTAATACTGCAGAGTACTGTAATGAATATGGGAAAATGTTAATTAACTTGCAGAATAGAAGTGTAATAATTGAATGAATGCTAACGTACATGAGTGCAATTTAGTACATTTTTGGTAGGAAGAATGAGAAGCCCACATATTCTTTAAAAGAAATGTGTTTAAATGGAGTAATAGTGCAGAAGGATCTAGGGAATGGATAAATCACTAAAAGTAAGTGATACAAGTTAATAAAGCTTTAAGTTCTGTAACCACCTGATTGGTGAATCTGGATCACCTCAGGTATTGCTGCTGGTTCTGCTGAAGGTATGAGAAGTGATCTTGGGAAACCAATGATTGGTGCACCATTTCTATTCCTTCTCCTCCTCCCTGCTAGGAGAGATTCTAGTGCCTGCTACATCTGCTCCTTTCATATGTTGCAGATCCACATGAGCCCTGTACCTTGTAGAGATCTGGGTGACCAGTTGCTCTGGCCTTCCTGAAGGGGTGTGCAAGCTCATGTTATGTCTACACACACAGCATGCCCACACTGGCACCCCCTGACCAGCCTGTCACACTCCACAGACTCACTCGAAATGGACCACAACATTTTATGCCTCTGGAGCTTCAAAAGCTGAGGCAGTGCTGCTTTGTCACAATCACCAAGCAACCAAGGATAGAACTAGAGCCGAGGGTGGAATTTTCTGTGCAGGTCTGGCAGAAGACATGAATGTGAGTGTCAATTCTATTTGAGGTAGGTCAACTTTCTCATGATCAAAGCCATGCGTTTCCTTTATTCTTTAGAGCGATTTAGTGTGGAATATACTTTGAAACATTCTCTTCCCGACAGTGATAAAAGTTTTGCAATCATTAACTGTTCTGGCTCGCTCATCAAATCTGTTTCTATTCCATAATATTGCCCTTATGGAAGGAACTCTAGTTTTGCTTCATATCCTCTGCCATTGGAACAGGAACTGACAAGGAGGAAGTTGCAGTCATTTTC